TTTTTTTTCTATTTTTAATTAACTTTTTATTCTTTATTCAAAATCCCCCCATATCTAATTTGGCATAATTTCTTTTATTAAAAAATCCCACGGTTTCTGTTAGTTGGGTCATATTCCACTTCAAACTGCTCAGTTTGCCTAAGAAAATTCCGTTTTTCTCCCTTTTTCAAACGGTTCCCTAGGTGCCTGTGGGAGGAGTCCAAGGGGAGGGTACCCCTTTTTAGAAAGCGGCGACTGTCTCCTTTCTACTAAACATTTCCCCCTGAACCGTACCGTATATGTATTTTCTTGCATTGGCTTTTACAAATATATTGGACATAAAATGTTCTATAAACATAATGAAACAATAAATATTTATCATGGTGATGATGTATTGGAAACACTAATACAAATGTTAATTTTTAAAACGGAACTACCAGTTTTACATTATGCTATCTAGAAGAAATTTAAATAAAAACGTTAGCGATTTAAGCGGCTACACAAACACATTTCTTTAGTAAGCACTAGGGCTACAACTACTAAATCGAGAGCAATCCATTCGTAAAAAGAATAGGAATGTTTCAACGACTTTTCCTTAATAAAACAGAATTGTACACGCGTTTTATATACAAACTTTTATAGTCTGTAGAAAACCTGGATTTTTACTACATATCCACTATGAAAAAATCCGACATGCTCCCCAAAAAACACAAAACTTCGTTTTTCAGGCTCTCTCATAAAGGAAAATAAATGCACACTTGCCTTCAGACTCTAACGTCACTGAATATTTTCACTAAAAAGAAGCAGCGAACAATTATTTGTGGCGCATCTTCCACATACATACGAGACATTTACATAAATTCTGTTTTAATTTTTATTTACACAAAATTTCTAATCTTTGAAAAACTAATTTTGGTTTTCTCGCGTTTACTATTTATCTTTTAACAATGCTGACATCCAATACCGAATTGCCATTGCGCATAGCACTAGTGATGTGATGAATGTTCAGTGCCCAGAACTCGGTACCCAATACTTGAAAAAACTTGTACCCAATACTTTCTTTTCGGTACCCGACGCCGATTCGATACAGCAAAACTTCGTCATGTGGCGAATACTGTGCCAACGCGAGGCGAACTACGAGAAAATGGCAGAATGTTCGAGGAATGACGTAGAATATTCGACAGCTAGAAACGTCAAGAGGATAAATACTGCGAACAGCGAGAGAATGTGCGATAGATAGCAGGACGTTCTGGAGTTGCCATGAGCAGTGCTACCGCTGTCACTTCAAATAAAGTTTTTCACTTCGCTTTGGAAGCCTTCACTTCGTCACTGTCTTTTACTCCACCTTCCACAAATTAGTTTTATCTCGAAAATAAAAAAAATCTTTGAAAGAAATCATTTATTTAACCAAAATCGACAGTCTTTTGAGAAAATTCTTGTTAGTTGTAAGTACGGCAAAGTAACTTTTCGCAAAAAGCTACTAAAAAGACGCCTAATAAACCTCCGATCTGGCATCAGTAATTTGGTGTTCATTTTCATATGTATAGCTGAGAAGAGCGCAGAAATGAATGTGTGCGCAAAGTTTCATAAAAGAATTGACGAAATTAAAATCCTTACTTATATTATAAATCACTTTCGGATTTGTTTCTTTGCTACGCTTTCACGCTTTAACTACTCAACCGATTATCATGAAATTTTGTACACTGCTGTCATTTAGTCCAACTTAAAATATAGGATAAATTTAATCTCGATTAGACAAGGGGGCGTGGCACATCCCATACAAACGGAATTTTTCATACTGCATTTTTCAGGAAATATTTTTTTTGGTATGGAGATATATAAAATCATTAGGTTCATTCCTTATCTTTTTGGACTAAAGTCTGAAAAGTGTCAAAATGCCAGAGCGTAAGCAAAATGCGCTCACTTAAAGAGAATAACATGAAAAGTAAAGGAACGCAAAAAACCAAATTTTTAGTCCAAAGAATGGCAGCAACAAAACTAACGTCAAATAAGAACAGAAATGTATGTACAAAACACATTCACACAAGCACAAGCACAATAAACACTTGCTATATCAATTATTTTTTGCCTTCTTCCAATTTCAATTCATTTCTTTTACTTTTTAGATTATTCTCACTTTTAGCGTATTCCTTAATTTCCGTTAATTTAAATTCAGTTGAGTTTGACACTTTTCAGGATTTTGCCAGAAAAAATTCTTCTGACTAAATCTGACTACTTCGGACTGATGAGAGTCACTCTCACTGACTGTTGCTCTCTCATTTTTGCTGTCATTTCCGAGTTAAGGAACGCTTTTTGGACTAAATCTGACTACTTCGGACTTTTTCTGACTATTTCTGGGAGATAAGGAACGCTCCTATTATGTACTCATGGAAGAGGGCTGCCAGCTTTAAAAATAATCAAATTCAACTTCAATTAAAGGTGTTATTCATTTGAAAATTATATTAAAAAAATGGAAGTCAAGAGGCTTAATAAAGCTGTATCTCGAATATATTTCGAAAAGGGTTGCCACCTCTTTGAAAAGTCAAATTTAAGTTGTCTAACGAAATATATACTACGTTTATACGTAAGCTATTTGCAAATAAAAATAATTTGCAAATACCTAACTCACTGTTTATTCAATGGTGGAAAATTCTTTTTTAATATTGCCTGATTATAAAAAGGCAATAATATGACCATCGAAAAAGAAAATAAAGTTAAAAATGGCAATGGCTTGATTATAAAAAGGCAATAAGATGCCCATCGAATAAGAAAATAAACCTAAGAATGGCGGCGTCTTGCGCTTATTTGCAAATAGTACCACTAATCAGTACTTATTTGCGTGATTTAATTATTTGCAAATAAAAAATTAACTCAGCGTTTATACGGCAAATTTTACCATTTTGCAAATTGTTATTTGCAAATATTAGGTGCGTATAAACGTAGTAATATTTAACAACGCTTTAGTTTGAAAGTTTTGAATAATATTTAAGTCTTTCACAAGGGTTGCCACCTTTTTAAACATTATTTTAAATTAAATATTACAGTAAAAGGCGCGCAATGGTTCTGGCAGCTGATTTATCGGTGGTGATTTGAGATTTACCCCTGCGCAACTCAACCCTGGTGTCTATGAATGAAGCTTTAACGCATAATAATACTGGCAAATCACATCCATTGGGCCAATCGTAACACATAAAGGTTCGATATACTCAGTGGTGCAACTTGGCGATTATTCGTAATGACTGCAGCGCCACCTGGCAGCTTCTTTTGGCAATAGTATTGCCTTTGTCGTTACCAATACCTATTTTGAATATTAGCGAAAGTGGATCATAAATAAGATTTTTAGTAATAACTTAAATGGGTGAAATTGTGAAACTACACCATCCAGAGAGCCACTCCAAAGCACACAAAAAACGTCGTTAACATCGGTCCGGGAATTTAGGAGGATTTCACTCACAAACACACATAAGAATTATATATATATTTTTCTCCATGAGTATAAGATTGATTTCATATGTCGCCGTACCAAGTTCCGGTATTCTACCATGAACACTTCCAGAGATATGCAGTATGAAAAAATCGGTTTGTATGGGAGGTGCTACGCCCCCTTTATATATCGAATTTTTTAGCCTATAACCATCCTTTGGACGTCTGAAACATCAAAATGAAATTAAAAAAAAATCGGTTCAGCCGTTCTCGAGATTCGCGAACACATAAAAAACGGCTTTAAATATATATGTATTAGTGTAGAAGATTGGTATCAAGAATGATAGAATATTGAGAGAGCAAGACGAACTCGACAAGAAAAAGAAGCATCAAACAAAAGACAGTGTTGCCAAGTTTGCATTTGAAAAAGCACCAAATTTTTATTGGTGTATTTTATGGACTT